GGGAATCTCATCCCACCATCATTCATCACACGCCTAACCTCACCCACCATTCATCACCACCCATACTCATCCCAGTCATCATACACTGCCTACCCATCCCATATCATCACACCCCTACACGCTCACCCATCATCACCAACGCTACCCATCCGCACCATCATCAATCACACCCTCCCTCATCCCACGATCATCACACGCCTCCCCTCATTCCACACCATCACACCCTACCTCATCCCACCATCATCACAACCCTACCTCATCCACCACCATCACACCCTACCTCAATCCTCATCATCATCATCACAGCTCTACCTCATCCCGTCACATCACACCTCTAACCTCATCCATCATCATCACACCCTACTCATCCCATCATCATCACACATCCCACTCATCCCACCATCATCAGCACCTACCTCATCCCATCATCATGCATCACACCCTACCTCATCCCATCATGCATCATCAACACCCTACGCTCATCCTCATCATCATCACACCCTACAGTGGAAATTGGTGGTCATCCGGCATCGAATCACCACAACCCTACCTCATCCATCATCATTTCACACCGCTACGCTCATCCCGGTCATCATCAGCACCCTACGCTCATCCCATTCATCATCACACGACCTAACCTCATCCATCATCAGTCATCACGAACCCTAAGCGCGTGCATCGCTCATCATCATCATCACACCCCTACCTCATCCCACATGCATCCATCACAGCCCTACCTCATCCCATCATCATCACATCCCTACCTCATGCCCATCATCATACCGCCCCTACCTCAGTCCAACCATCATGCATCAAACACCCTACCTCATCCCACCTCATCACACCTCTCATATTCGCGCACGGCATCATACAGCCCTAGCCGCTCATCCCACGCGATCATCAGCAGCACCCTACCTCATCCCCATCATCACACAACCCTACCTCATCCCATCAGTCATCACACGCCCTACGCTCATCGCCAGCATCTATCAACACGCCGTATACTCATGCCCACACGATCACACCCTACCTCATCCCACAACCATCACACCTACCTCATCGCCACATCATCACACTCCTACCCTCATCCGCACCCATCATCATCACAACCTACCGTCATCCCACCGAATGCCATCACACCTCTACCTCATCGCCATCACCATCACATCCGGCCCTACCCTCCTCATCCACCATGGCATCATCACACCCTAACCTGGCATCCCACGCCTCCATCACACCCTACACCTCATCCACCATCATCATCAACCGCTAGACCTCATGCCACCATCATCACACCCAGTACCTCCATCCCATCATCATCACACCCTAACCCTCATCCGAGCCAATCATTACCAGCTGCCCTATGCTACATGTCATCCCATCATCATCACAGCCCACCCTCATCGCAACATCCATCATCACACCCTACCTCATCCCATCATCATCACAAACGCTAAACTCCACCAGCACGCATCGATCACACCTACCTCATCCCACGCACCGATCACACCCCTACTCATCCCACCACCATGCACACGAACCTAACTCATCCCACCATCATCACACCGCTACCTCATCCCATGCATCATCACACCCTACCCAATCCCACCATCGATCACGAACCCTATCTCATCCCACGCATCATGCAACACCCTACCCTCATTCTCGCATCACTCACCATCATCATCAAACACCCTACCTATCCCCATTCATCATCAACACCCTACTCAATGACCCATCATCATCACATCTATCCTCATCCCATCATCATCACAGCCCGCTACCTGCATCCCACGCATCATCATCACACCCATAACTCATCCCCACCATTCATCACACCCTACGCTCATCCGCATCATCATCATACCTACCGCTCATCCCACCCATCATCACACCCTACTCTCCCATCATCATCATATCGCCCCTCATCGCCACCGATCATCATTCACACCCTAACTCATGCCCATCATCATCAACCCTACCCATCCCATCATCATCACACTCCTACCTCATCCCATCATCATCACATCACCTAGACCTCATCCCACACATCATCACACCCTACCTCATCCCACCATGCAATCATCAGCACCCTACCTCATCCCATCATCATGCACAGCTCCCTCCCTCATCCGCACCATGCATCATCACACCCTAACCTCATCCCATCATCATCAAACCCTCTAGGTCACCTCATCCCCCCATGGCATCGATCACACCCTACCTCATCCCATCATCATCACACCCTACCTGCATCCCACCATCATCAAGCACCCAATACCTCAATCCGCAGTCAATCATTATCACACCCTACCTCAATGCCATGCATGCATCACACGCCTACCTCATCCCACCATCATGCACACCCTACCTCATCCGCAACCATGCATCATCAGCCCACCCTACCTCATCACCATCATCACCCCTACTCATCCCACCGAATCATCATCACACCCTACCTCATCCTCATGCATCATCACACCCTCCTCATCCGCATCATCATCACAGTCCTACCCATCCCACCATCATCACTACCCTACCTCATCCCATCATCATCACACCTACTCATCACCCATGCATCATCATCACACCCTAGCCTCATCCCACCGATCATCAATCACAACCCTACCTCATCCCATCATCATCAGCACCCTACCTGAACATCGCATCATCATTCATCACCCTACCTCATAACCCCACCATCATCATACCCTACCTCATCACCGACGCATCATCCCCCCTAGCCTCATCCACCATCACACACCCTACCCATCCCACTCATCATCATCACATACACCCTACCTCATCCCAGACCATCATCAGCACCGGCTACCTCATCCCCTCATCATGCATCCCCCCCTACCTCATCCATTCATTCATCAGCAGTCCTACCTCATCCCATCATCATCCAACTGCCTTACCTCATCCCATAATCATCATTTCACACGCTCCTAACCTCATCCCCCCCATCATCACACGCCTAACCTGCATTCCGCACCATCACACCACACCCCTACTCATCCCCCATCATCGACACCCCCAACCTCATCCATCACTCAATCACACCCTACTCTCCCACCATCATCACACCCTACCTCAATCCCACATTCATCATCACACCCTACCCATCCCATCATCATCAACACCTCCCTCATCCCATCATCATCAGCACCCTAAACCTCATCGCCATCACTCAATCACCGCCCTACCTCATCCATCCTCATCACACCCTACGCTCATCCCCATCATCGATCACACCTTCCCCCCCCCCAAGCCGCTCATCATCAACACCTGCCTCACCCCTGCCACTAACGCCACACGACCCTCCAATACGACCCCCTACCCACCTTAAGATCCTTGAAGAAGTGTGAGCGGCGTGCCCACTCGACGAGCGAGAACAGGCTGTTGTCGAGCACGCGGCACAGTGCAGCCAAACGTTCGAGCCCGGCGTCCGCTGTGTCCTGCGCCCGGTGTCCGCCGCGTACGTCTGCGAGTAGAGTGATGCTGAACAGCGAATCGCGCCATAAGCTTGTCGTCCGCGGCGTTCTCGCGAAGCTTCGATGATGAGGCGGTGGCGTACGCAGCGGCCGTCTGCACACCGGAAAGTAGTCCCACGACGACTTGGCGCGCCCCGGTAGAGGTCGTCGTGCATCGGTGGCCGGCTGCTGTGTTGTGTTGTTGTGTTGTTGTTGTGGTGGTGTTGGTGGTTGGCGTAGTGGTCGTTGAGTGTGGTTGCGGAGGAGGAGTCGGGCGCCAGGTGAACGTTGGGTCGACGTGAGCTGCTGCAGCTGTGATAGGTCCGCTTGATGTCCTGCCGCCATGGCGGCGGAGGCCGCCGCCGCGTCGCCGTCAGCGTGAGCGTCCCGTCGTACTGACACATGCCGCCCATCTTCGCCGCCAGCATCCGCCTCTTCACCTGCATCTTGCGTGCGCGATCACGCTTGTACATCGGACCGAACTTGTTGCGTCCGCCGCGCATCCGGTCCGGCCGGACCGCTGCAAGCACAAACAGACGGACGGACCCTCGTCACGTGTGGACCATCGCAAAAACGAACATATAATTGGCACATCGTGAGGATACTTGATATATATAAAAAGCAATGCTTAGCTAGAAAAAGGGTTTTGCTATATTAAGCCTGTAGTAGATTGATTTATTATTTTAGAAGCAATAATTAATTAACCATTTGTTTCATTAAAACCCGAAATTACTGACAAAAAACAAATGAATGACATGTAATCATGTCGTATATTAGCTTGGCAAACTTAACTAGATTAGAGTTTATCACTGATTAGTGATTAATACCCCGCAATACCGCTTTTACCAGAGGGAAATGGAAGGCAAGGTGTGGCGTATATTATGAGTTAAAGAATACACAGAAGTCACAAAAAATATGATGAATTAAAAAAAGAGACCAAAAGAGATGAGATAGGTTTCATGGCCACGCCTTGACAACACACACAGACAAAATATGTCACGGTACATCTTACACTCATGGTGATGCAAGTGTCTGAAAGTTGATTGGAATCCCTGAAAACTGTGGAAGTAGTTGGCGCCATCACATTTTGGGCAAGACGACCGCCGAGCCGACTGCCTGAGCGCCCGCCCCCCGCCCAACCGACCAATCGTAAGATGACTCTATAAACCGCCTTCAACTTCGCTGCCGGCGGTATAAAGACTTTCATCATATTAATATATTTGATGGATTTTTTTCTTAAAGTCATATTTCTTTGATGGCTGGCGATATCTTGTACTATCTTTGGTGATGAACATTGTTAGTTGGAACACAGTCTGGATATGATTTAAACTCGTAATGCAACTACGTGGTGCTGCTAGTTGCGAGACAAGACGTGTGGAACAGAGTTGGTCGCTGAATATCATAATCGAAACGTGCTTTCCATCACTCGGCCAGTGGCGCCGCAGAATTAGAAAGCCTAGGAAGGGGCACAGTGCTGTTCCAGTAAATTTTGGGTTAAAAATGTTGTTTCTACAGGGTTTTGTTCAAAGTCTCTCTCGCACCAGACTCAATCAGATTGCCATTTCCACTAGACGTCAAAAATTTTCAGGGGGGGCATGCCACCCAGACCCCCCTAAGCATGCACAGCGTGCCTCTTTCTTATCACTCACTTGAGATTTTATTCCTTCGTGCTTCTACTTTCTTAAGACCCTAGCTGTGGGCGCCCAGTGTCTGGGCATCGGTGGCCCGCTGCAGTGACAAACACATTGTCATGAAGTGGCAGCGCCTACTATGGTCTCAATAATGACTGACCGGCCAAATAATGTCTACGCTAACCACCCACGTTACAGCAAACCTGCAAACAGCAAGCGACACAAACAGATAGGTTTCAATAATTCAGGGGGGGAGGGGCAGCAAGCCAGGCAGTTTCGCTGCCTACAAAGGTGGCAAGATGTCAGGCTAGCTATTTGCTTTCCAACGTCAGCAGTCAATGCTTGCTGCTGGGGCCAAGATATTCTAATACACCAATATAAAACAACGCACCAAAGATTCTGGCCTGCTGGGTGAGATAAACTTTGCTGCTGCCCTTTTCACTGCCAGCAAGTAGTTGAATCGGGCATGCCGCAGTTAATTTCTAACCTTGTTACATGACACACAAACAATCTATCACCGACATTACACCCAACAGTGCAACATCACCACACTTACTGGCAAAGTAAACTAACCGCCTGACATTACTACCGAACACTAACATCTGTGCCACACAATACGCCTAAGTAAAACTAACAAACCACATCGTACAATATTGTGGCCAACAGATTGTTCCACGGCGTCTCATTCATTGGCTAACCGCACACAAGAACGTCAACCTAACCTCGGCCTCCAACCATTCTTTGAGTATATCATCATCGCAACGGCAACACAGTTCCCCCACACATCTAATCTCCCTTCTACATTTCGTTGGGCAGACTCTAAACAAACACAGTTCCGATACATCTTAACCTATATAGCCTCCTCCATTTCCTCAGATACGATGTTTCCTTCCACATACCCCCATTACGCCTAAATTAGCTAGACACTCCTCCAGCATATCTTTTTAACGTCCTCACACCGTGACAACCTTGAGAAAATAACACACACATGCACACGACATAGTAAGTGAACAACTCACGACTGACAACCACGACTGCAAGGCCCTCGGCATCTCCTACACCGATTGTCCTTTCCCCTATTCATCTATACACCCACATATTCCATTCCCCTACAACCACTGAGAGACATCCAACACACACACACACACACACACACACACACACGCACACACACATGTACGCACACGCACGCACGCACGCACATACACGTGCACAAACACACGCACGCACGCACGCACGCACACGCATGCACGCACACACACGTGCACAAACATGCAATTTGCACGTACACACGCACACACGCACGCACGCACGCACGTACACACGTACAAACGCACGCACACACACACACACACACGTGCACGCACACGCAATTTGCACGCACCTTCCAGCTTCATGCCGACCTCGATGCACTTCTGGAAGCGGCAGTAGGGACACCGCTTGCGCTGCTGCTTATCGATGACGCACTTCTTCTCGATGGCGCACGAATAAACCTTCTTGTTCTGCACAGTGCGCTTGAAGAAGCCCTTGCACGACTCGCACGTCAACAGGCCGTAGTGGTAGCCGCTGACGACGTCGCCACAGACGGGACACAGCTCGTCGAGGTCCCCCTTGATGTCGATGGCTGCGGCATGATGGTGGTGGTGGAGGTGGTGCCGGTGGTGGTGTGGGTCGCCGAATGTCATCGCATCCGGTGGCGGCGTGTGAACAAACGGCTCGAATGCGTACTCCTGCTGCATCGCCAGTGGTGCTTTCACCATGTTGGACGCAGAGCCGCCTGCAGGAATAACCAACATTGAGTCGGCATGTCCGTGGTCGACGGTGTCGTACGTGTACGGGGCGGCCCCGTTGTAGTCGAGATCCTGGAAGGTGCAGTCAAGCTGCTGCTGCGTGGGCATGTCAGCGTTGAACGCGTGGTACGGCGCCGCGTTCTGCAAGTCCGGCGCACAAAGCGCTAGCGCATTTTCCGTCGGGAACATCGCAGCGCGGGATATAGAGAGACGAGGACTGGGAGCTCGCACGCAGGGGATGAGGCCAGAAGGTAGAGTGTTGATGCTGGCATGCAAGGAAACGTGCGGCTGACTCTACTTGTGCGCAAACGACAAGACAGCGGGGTGAGGCGGAGTGTGTGTCCACGCTCACGCGTGCTGCTACGACAACGATGAAGTGACACTGGTGACCAAGTGAAAGAGAAAGTGGCCGCTGCATCTGCCCAGCTCGCGCGTAAAAGTGAAACTGATTTAGCTAACAATCGCACCGCGTACGGATCGCTTTTCAATGCCCATTGTTATGTGTAGGTATCCCACTAGCCTAGTTTCGCGATCTAGGTGAAGGGCACACTTAAACGCACACTACCGCAATTTTTCTTCTGCACACTATGCCAAGCGTGACAACACACCTTGATCGAGCCATGAGATCATGTCTGTGCTAAGATCAACGAGCATCAGATCACACCACTCGAATACTTGAATCGAGAAAATACAAAATTGATATAATATATAGTTCCGATTTGCAACTTGTAAATTTACACGAGAGTGTGAAATCCCATTTTACCCTTACAAGGACGTATGTATCCTCACAGACTATCTGGTTACAGCCATATATGTATATTTCGTTCAGATTTATAGCGAGTTGTCTACAATCTGATTATTTTTTAAATCTTAAATGTTTCATTTGGACCTTACTATCCGAGTATGGGTAACAACAGTAAGATCATATAGGATCTATATTACCTATATTTATATTATTATATAGATTATATTATATATCATATATTATTATATGATTATATCAGGAGTCTATCAATAATTGATAGACTCCTGATTATATAGGACCTATATTAGCTTACTCCTGGTAACATGTGGATTAATATCTGAGTATGCGGATATACGGAAGTAATTCTAAATACCGCTACCTGCTCTTCCGGGAGATGCGCAGAGTACCCCATTGTGCTGCCCGTGCAGGTATGTTTGGTCATTTTTGAAAAGCCCAAGGACCTTACCCGCCGCGATGCGTGACCAATGTCGCTCAGTAATCTACCCACTCCGTGCACGCTGTGCTGTGAAAGGGAGGGAGCAGCAGCAGCAGCGGCGGCGGCGGCGGCGGCGGCAGCGGCGGGCGACAGGAAAGTGACCCAATTTTTATGCGGAGAAATGTAGGACAACTCGGAGCTTGTGAGCTGCACTTTGTTTGACTTGGTGAGTGTGAGTGGGCGTTGGGCTCAGACTATGCCGATCTATGGCTGCTCGCATGCATGCAAGCGACGTGGCCAAACAGCCAGCATGGCCGAGACAGCCAGAAGCAGTAGCAGCGGTAGTAGTAGTAGTAGCAATAGCAGCAGCAGCATCAGCAGCGCGGCAGCAGCAGCAGCAGCAACAGCAACAGCAGCAACAGCAGCAGTAGCAGCAACAGCAGCAGCAACAGCAACAGCAACAGCAACAGCAACAGCAGTAGTTGTAGTACATACACGAGAACAGTGAATGACCAAACAAGCGGAAAAATGCGTGATTCAAACATTTGTCAGTTCAGAGTCCATGCCTAGCGAGCGTTGCAGGCGAAATTTTGAAAGAAATGAAGGCAGGAGAGAAATCCTGAGCGTTCATATAAAACACCATTTAATTTTCTAAAATTTCTTTTAGTTATAGGACCCAAAATTTGAATTTTCATCTTGTATCCAAGTGGATTACTAGCTTCTAGGTTTCCGGTATTCTAAATGGATATTAGTATCCCACATATATAGTGAACATAATGTGTCCCTCCCCTCTCGTAGAAAATTTAAGCCAGACTGGTGCATTCTGAGAGTAAATGAGAATGGATTTTTTATGGACAAGGATTGGAGCCATATTTTAACATGGAGGCATTCATCGGGAAATTGCAGAATGAAAATAGATTTACCATCGCAAGAGCGACCAAGGGGAACAGTCTAGGTACAGATTACAGGGGTAGTACCAATATTTTTCAGAGATTACTTAATTGTGATCGTCCGGTATTTGAATGCTTTTACGATGTAGTAAGAGTAATATAAGTATAATATAATAATTACTAGTAGTAATAGTAGTAATAGCAGCAGCAGCAGCAGCAGTAGTCGTAGTAGCAGTAACAGCAGTCTCGCTAGGTACATGCAAAACCATGCAGCCCACCCATGATGGGCCTAGCAGCTGCCACACGGGATTGGGAAAGAATCGCGTTGGTCCTACGTTCCATAGCAACTAGAATCAAACATGTATCACCACAACTCAGTGCTAGCTAGTAGTGAGTGAGGTAGCTTTTCCTATTACAAATAATGGTACCACACCATCACGACCACTAACAGTGATTATAAGACTAATAATAACACGATAATAATAATAAAAAGAATAACAACAACAATAATAATAATAATAATAATAATAATAATAGCACAGTATGCCATGTTAATAGCTGGGAACGCGAAAATTTACTACGATAATATCGATTATTAATACGATACTTAATACGAAATTTAATACGATAAATCGATTATACGAGAATGCCAGGCAGGTACGTTATAAAATTCATGAGCCACACGTGTAAAGCGACCTCACCCAGCTGGACGCGCGGCTGCCACATGCGCACGGCCGCAGACACGATAGATTTTTCAATAAATATTAGCAGCATATAATACAGTAGCTGCGTGTAACATTATGAATACCTGCCATCCATCCACTTCCCGTGCAGGTATATACCGGATACTTCAGCTATACCGCGACAGCATTCGGAACATTTACGAGGTATCGCATAATATCAAATTCAATCGCGTAATATATTGACGGGCACCTATGTCTATATTGCGTGACCCATGCCCACATGGCGACGCCACCGTCGCTCGACAACGCAGACGATCACGACCACGCAAGATCGCGCAAGATCGCGCGGCCTCAATCGCTGACGGCATAAAAAAACCTCCACCCTGTATCCTAACCTTGAGAACAGCTAACGGCATGTTTTTATTGTCCACCCGCGAGCAAACCCGGCAGTGCGCGCGCGCAACTTTCACTGCTCCACTTTCTCCCTCCCTCTCTCGCCTCGCCACACAAGCGTGCGATAAAGAGTGAAAGCGCGGGCGCTGCCAGCCCGGCCAACCATCCGCGGCGGAGTTTTACACCGCCGCTCTGTTTCACACCAAGGTTGGACGCATGCACCGCCTCGGGGCACGGATGCACTCCGCCTGCCGCTACCAGCGGCGCAAACGCCGTGCCAACCAGCGGCAACAGTCGTCATCGGCAGAGTGAAAGTGACAAGGACCTTGCAGCGCCGCACACAATGCTCGCGGCGACCTTGGAGGACCAGGAAGTGCACGTGCCCACACGACTAATTGTTCGCCTAACCGTGTATCTATGTGTGCGTGTGTATATCTGATGCCGTCACGCTGTCGCGTTACTCACGGGCACCTGACTTCATTATGTAAGGTGCGCAGTTTTATCGGCGGATCGAGGCGCGGGAGAGGCGACGCAATCAGCAGGTATAATGAGTTGAACTGAGAACCGTCTTATTTGCATGCAGTCATCGTCTGATTCTCGGTAGACATCCACTACGTGTGAGTGTGAGCACGCATGACGGTCTTCGCATCACTTTTCCGACACGCAACCAACGGTCATAAAGACATAAACCGCATAAACAAAACCGTATAGCCTCCACCGGCAGTGACAACAACAGCAGCAGCAGCAGCAGCAGCAGCAGCAGCAGCAGCAGCAGCAGCAGCAGCAACAGCAACAACAACGACAAGGACAACAACAACAAAAACAACAACAACTACAAAAACAATGACGACAGTAGCAACAGTGACGACGACATCAAGAACAAGAACAGAAACAACAACAACAACAATAATAACAATAACAATAAAAACTCCACCCTGTTAACAGGAACGTCAACAACAACAACAATAAAAACACCACACTGTTAACAGGAACGTCAACAGGAACGTCAACAACAACAACAACAACAACAACAACAACAACAACAACAACGGAAACAACGATTGAGGATAATGACATATGATAGCAGCAGGAGCATTAGCAGCAGCAGCAGTCATTCAACAGACGTTGCATGTTCTCCTCCGATATATCTTCCGCTTCTGTCACCACAGCACGGCGTAAGCGTGGACCACAGGCACTTGAAGCGTTACAATAAAATATAATGCTAACTAAATACGAAATCTATTTACTACCAAATTCTTAATGTTTCTATACTCTCTTTCACCTATTATTGCCGAGTTTCCTATAAATTCCGTCCAAATCCTACGTCCAACCAAACGCTGCCGGCACCATTGCTTTCGCGGCGCGACTGTTGCACGTTTGTTGTTGATAGTTTATAACTATATATATTATATATAATTAGTGTAATTAGTGTATATTAGTTAACTATATATATTAGTGTAAGCTCGTGCGACAGTCGCGCGCGCGAAAGCAATGGTGCCGCCAGCGTATGCGTTCTGCACCGTTGCACGTAGTCATTGGACCGGAATTTACAGGAAAATCGTCGCGCCCAATAATAGGGGAAGAGAGTATTAGAAACATTAAAGAATTTGGTAGTAAATAGATTTCGTCATTTAGTTAGCATTATATTTTATTGAAACGCTTTCATAGTGCCTGTGCGTTGGACAGTCGTCGCTGAGAGGGTATGGGAGATAAAGGAACACAGGCGATGTATATATTATAACAGTTGCCGATGCGTGCTGCCGAACCATGGTGGCGGTTGCATACTCGCACTGAGCCAATGGTCAACTCTTCTTAGGACGTGGGGTACGGAGCAACTAAAGAGGTTGCTTCCTCCCGCCTCCCTCCCCCTCTCCTCCCGCCTCCCTCCCTCTCCCCCTACCACATCTACTCCCCTTATATCCCCTATCCTTTTATAATTTTGCCATTCTCTTTTTGAATGCTACTGTATAGTTTCTCTAACAGTTTGCGTGATAATGTATTTAATCCTGTACAATTGTATTTTTCTCATGTATTTATTTCTCGTGCTATGAATTTTCTTTTTATTTTTCTCTCTACTTAGTATTTTCTCTCATGTCTCTCTCACGGTATATA